GAAAATGCCAAACAGGAGGCTGGAGTGCTAGTACGGCAGGTAGGACATTTGCCTTGCACGCGGGTGACCCGGGTTCAATTCCCAGCATCCCATATGGTCCCCTGAGCACCACCAGGATTGATTCCTGAGTGCAGAGCTAGGAGCAATCCCTGTGCATCACTGGGTGTGACCCAAAAAAGCGAAAAAACATGCTAAACAACTGGCAAGTGGTGAGTTCATAATACCCACATTCAAGACAGGACATTTGAGAGAATAGAGAAAACACCATTAGTTAAAGCTACACATTCAGTTGAAGAAGACAGCCTTCCCAGCACAGAGATGCACTGTCCCCTGCAGAGGGTTTATGAGAAGCTGGAATCCCCTACTTGAGTCACCAATAAACTTCTTGAAAGACTTCATGTTATCTTTAAACTTTATTAATGGCATTGCAATTTTCTGCTTCTAAACGAAAATACTAAAATGGGTTAAGACTTGCTTCAGAATGAACTGGGAAGAGTGGAAGAGAGTTGAGGAAAAGAGAAAATAAGTTTCTAGTTGATCACTGTTGTAGATGGGTTACATGTTAGGTTACATGTAGAGACAGAACACTATGCCTATAACTTTCCTATATGCTTGAGTTCTTCCAAAATAAAAGGAAGGGAGGAAGGATGGGACAAAGGATGGGAGGAAAGATGGGAAAAGGAAGGAAGGAAGGAAGGAAGGAAGGAAGGAAGGAAGGAAGGAAGGAGGGAGAGGTAACTCCTGGTCTCCTGATCCCACAGATAGCTCTGCCGCTAATACTAAATCCCCAGGTTCTTGATATCCGTTTTTCCTTTAAACTAGACATCTAGATAGATCCAATCCAAATTCTACCTAAGAACAAGAGGAACAACTTTTTTTTTTTTGAGAATTAACTTCCTTTATTTCTCTCTAGTTTTTCTGCAATTATTCCAGAAGTCCACTCCATTTTGTACTTCATCTTATCCCTGACTTTTGCCTGTTTTTCATTCACAGTCCATTATTTAAATATAATTGACCAAAATTCATCTCAGCTATATTATTTTACCTTTCATATTTGTTAAATGACATAAAATTTGTTTATAAGATTGTATATATATATACATCTTAGAAATACAATTATGACCACACAACATCCACTATCAAAGTGCCTCCATCCTTAGTATTGAATATTGGAACCTTTAAGAGGAACAACTTTTGACTAACACAAAGCATACTCCTCACATTAGATTGAACCATTTTTAAAAGTTATTCTGTCATCTAATAGAATAATGACTATTGTATACCATGCAGATCATGCTTTTCTGTATTTTTGAAATGCTCAAATAACATTAACAAACCTCTATAATATAGAAGAGGACTAAACCTATGTTGATACAAAAGCAACTGTGAACCAAATTCCAAGAAATCAAGGAAAATCTTAGCCCTAAAACCGAACTGCACTCACCAGACCTCTCTCCTCTCTCCCCATTAATCTCACCTCTCTCTTACACATACATCTTTCTGTTTCTCTGTTTCTGTTTCTTTCTCTCTCTCACACACACACACACACAAACCCATCACACACACACACACACACACACACACACACACACACACACACACACACACATTAGTCCCTAAATTCTCCCAAGGGGCAATGATGGCATCTTATTGGCTCTAGTCTCAGGAAGCCCAGGGACAGGACATGATAGATCTTTCTGTGAGTCAAAGCCCTTACAATTTATCTTAAAGACCTTCCCAGCAGGATGCTCAAATAAACTGAAGACAAAGAAAAAAGATTGGGGAAGGCAAGGGATTTGAAAGAATTTCAGAATGCCAAAGTGACTCTCATCCTTCGCCACCAACCAAAACTCAGGACTAATCAGAAAGAGGCAGGAACAGGGTGAAGGTCAGCTACCCACTTTCTCACTATCCCCTGCACCCACCCCACCCCTCAGTGCCCTCCTCCACCCTCAGCACTCTGCTCCACTCCTACACCATCCACCTCGGTGCCTCAGTCTACCTCTCAGCACCTGTCCACTCTCCAGAGTTAGTGTCCCCACTCCAGAGTTAGTGCTCTTTCCACCTTTAGCGCCCCATCCAGCTCTCAGAACCCACTCTACCCCCTCAAGAACCACTCTGCCTGCTCAGCGACCCTTTCTATCTTGAGCACCCAGGACACTGGGCAGGAGTCCTTTCCCGCAAGAAGGAAGCTGCCATCCCACCGGTGGGGAATGAACCACAGGCAACATGTGTGGCTCACAGAGGAGCGAAACAAAGCCCACCCCCCAGAAGGTGCTGAACCTCTCTCTAGGGCCCATCAATTCTGGCTGAAGGGTACAGAGACAAGGGGAGAGATTTGCAAGGAGGAACTTCAGAACTTCACACAGGCAAGATGGTGGGAGGTGCACGCACTAAACAGTATGTACATCAGAAGGTTTAGCAGAGATTTGGATCCAGGTATCCCATCTGAAAGCTCCAGGACTTTAAAGTCATCTCCCTGAAAGACATCCCTGTCACCCATTGTTTTCCACTGCATCCCGCACCCAGGGTTCTCAAAAATAGGCCCACAAAGGGAAAGCCAGGTATGAGCCGGTGGTGACAGGGCAACTGCAACCTCATGGGAAGGGGGGTGGTACCAGCTCATCCTTCACGTCCTGCCGAGGTCATGAGTTGCCCCCCACGAGTAGTTCTCTGGCACTGACATGGCTCCACAGGTACAGAAACCAATCTCATAATTATCTGGCTCTTAGCAGAAATCCCTCCAGACTTAATTAGTAAAATATCAGAAATACAAAATCACATGGCTGCTATTGGGGCCACATGACATCATATGATTCTCATAACCAGCTATAGAAAACAAATTATTTCACAATGCCTTTTCAGCAGCTCTGATTGTTGGCTGGAAATTCTAAACAATAATGGTGCATCTTTTGTTGAAATAATGAATGTAATCAAAGTAGAGAGAGTTAAGTAGAAATCATCTGCCTCACAGGCATCGGAAGGGGTGGGAGGGGGGTATACTGGGGTTCTTGGTGGTGAAAAATAAGTACTGGTGAAGGGAAAGGTGTTTGATCATTGTCTAACTGAGACTTAATCCTGAAAGCTTTGTAACTTTTTCACAGTGATTCAATAAATAAATATAACAAAAAAAATGGGCCCACAAAGCCCACTCTAACTTTAAGGACTGAAAGCTATTTCTATCAACCAAGTGTGTCTATGGGGGCCAAGAAAGGAATGGCACAGAGGCAAGAATTTCCCCCTTTTGATCTACAGAAGGACAAAATTCCAGTCTGACAGTTCATTGCTCTCTACATATGCTGAAGAATTCCGTCTTGTGTCCCCGAAAATCCACCCCCAACACAACAGCAGGAGATGGTCTATTGCTATGTTCAAAGCACAGACTCTCGTATCTACTATCTCAACATGCCAACTGAAGTCATGTTTCTAGTGAGCCTCAGCTTCCTCCTCCTTAATAAACCTTTGTTCCCAGTGACAATATGAAAAACAAGTTCATATAGGTAATGCACTTATACCATGATGTATCATCATTACAGCTGTTGATGCCATTACTGTTATTTCTATGAGCATTACTATCACCATATGAGCAGTCTTTGGCTACTTACAAGAAAATCTCTAATAAAATCATATTCTCTATTCTATTACCATGCTTCATAATTATATTTGTACCAACATCAAAGAAAGGCATCAATGGGGGAACATAGAAGTTCTCTTCATGGGCAAGAGCTGGCCTATATGTATATAACAAACCTCAGATTTAAAAGAGACTATAGGGACCAAAGCGATCAGACAGGTGGTAGGATGCTTGCCCTGCACAAGACAGGCCCAGATTTGATCTCCGGGACCCCTCATGGTCCACCCCCTCCCCCCCGCAGCAACACCAAGAATGGTCCCTAAGCACAGAGCCAGGAATAAGCTCTGATCACTGCCAGGTATAGCGCCCCCCCACACACACACCAAATAAAACATTTAAGTAAATAAAAGTGACAACAGACCCTTAGATCCATAAGAGTTTAGAGGGTAAGACATCAGAGTGACCTTCATCAGATAACTCACAGACAATGTTCTTCTTCCCAAAAATGCATCTACAAACAGAAATGGCTGGATGCTAAATCCATGAGGATCTTCCATTAATAGTACCTTGGTGAAAGATTGTGGGCTGAGAGCATGAGTTTGTGCCACCATGCATCACCAAGATTTAGACTCTCACCAACTTCTCTCTGTAGATAGAATGACTCGCTCGCTCTCTCTGCTCTGGAAATGAGTATGCGTGTCTTTTTTCAGTGTAAGGGGTTTCTACATAAGATGAAGGCATTACAGTATCCAAGACTATTTTTAAATGTTGGCTCATTTTATAGTTGCTGGCATTGCTTTTTTTGAAGTGATTTCAATTTCACTGCTCTGGCCATAATGAGTCACAGCTGTGTGTTTGTACCACACACCTTCTTTCTTCCATTCACTGAACGTATCTGCCTGTGAGTGTGTACATTTACTCTGCTCTGGGTAATTTTCAAGTGATGAGGTGCCACCTGAAAATTTCTATCTTAGCAGTAGAAATTATGAAACACTAAAGAGAGGCTGGAACTATCTCAAAAAGGGCACACAGCTTCATTCATTTATGTCAGTTGGAGAAGTTCTTAAACGTGTGTGTGTTTAATTATTTTATAATAGACACAGTGGTTTAATCATGAATATGATACTTCAACTTGTCAACCACTACTAAGTCTACTGAACATAAGAACTAGCATATTGGTGGTGAACATCCAAAAGTCAGAAATATTAGAATATTCTCTCAATTCTACAAAAAAAGAGAGAGAAAGCATTAGCATTTCCCTTCCAGACCAGTTTTGAGCAGATTGAAATGTATAAACCAGACATAAAAACATACAACCAAGACAGTCTTGCATAATGAATTAGGCAATTTATTAGGCTCCTAATTTCCATGTCTAGAACATGAACATGGATTTACATGCATAGTCTCATTTTGTAGCTCTTACATGCATGTAGTCTTCAACCAGCTGGGCCTTTGATTCTACTTGTCAGTTAATTACAATTAGCTCAATGTGAGTAAATGACAAACACGGAATGACATATAAGCTATAGCAGCAAATTCCACCCAATATCATTGGCTTGTTTTCCCCAAAATCATAATCACAACTCTCTTGTAAAAAATAAATTTCAGAGCAAGGCATTTCATTTACTTCATTGAGAAAAATAAAGGCGATTCTATCAGTTTTTGGAGCAATGAATGTCCAACTATGGCTGAAAGGTACACCCTGAGAATTAAATGATTTTAACGAACCCATTGAGGTTTATAATAAAGCTGTGTTAACCTAACATCAAGAAGAGACACAAGATACAGGCACAAACGTTTTTGCTCATTTTGCTGTGCAATTCTCCAAGGATGCCGTATTATAAACATCCTCATCTTCGATGCTGGAAGCGTCTGTGGAATTGGGTTCGCTGACCATAATTCCCACAGAAGATAGACTGGTAATGAAGGCATGCATCCGCTGAGCATAAATGTCCCGAATGTTAAAGTAAGGTAGCTCATGACACTTCTCTGGTGGGTCCTCACTACACTGATCCACATCCATATCCTTTTGCCTCTGGTAGTACTTGGAAAACTTGTTAAAGATGATGGTGATGGGAAGGGCCACCACCAAGATGCCACAGATAATGCACGTGCTGGCGATGAGCTTCCCGGCTAAGGTGACTGGGTGGGTGTCACCATAGCCCACAGTCGTCATGCTGATGGTGGCCCACCACCAGCAGATGGGGATGCTAGTGAGGCTGGAGGAGAGCTCATCTTTCTCCACTGAGTAGATAAGCACAGAGAAGATGGAAATGCCCACGGAGAGGAAGAGGAGCAGCAAGCCAACTTCGTGGTAACTGTGTCTCAGCGTGGCCCCTAGCGACCGAAGCCCCACCGAGTGCCGGGCGAGCTTGAGGATTCGGAAAATCCTCATCAGCCTGAGGATCTGAACCACCTTGCCCATGTTCTCGATGTCCTCGCTCTCCTCCTCCTTGGTATCCACGGCCAGGGTGGCGTAGAAGGGAATGATGGACACGAAATCGATTATGTTCAGGGGGTTTTTCCAAAATTTCTTCTGACAGGGCGCGGCCACCAGGCGGATGGCCAGCTCCCCGGTGAACCAGGTGATGCAGGCGATCTCCACCCCTTCCAGCACGGGGTCCTCCACCTCCCCATCCTCATTCTGGAACTCGGCCATGCTGTGGACGCACATGGCCACGATGGAAGCCAGCACCACGCTCAAGGAGGAGACGGCGATGAGCTTGGCCGACAGGCAGTACCCGGGGTTTTCCATGAGAATCCAGATCTTCTTCCGGATCTGGCCGAATCGCTGCTTATCGAACTTCTCCAGCTCCTTCTCGAACAGTGAGGACTCTTCGAAGGAGGAGTCGGAACTCACACCGTTGCTCTTCTGCTCCCAGTCTCGGTCGTGGTTCTCCTCCTTGCGCTCCTGGTAGCGGTTGCTGCAGCAGGAATCGATGAAGAGCTCGTTGATGCCCCAGTACTCGATCTCCTGGCAGAAGGAGAACACGCACAGCTCCTCCATGACGTGCAGCTTCCCTGTGTAGTAAAAGTTCAACACGTATCTGAACAAGGACGGGTTCCGGTCAAAGTAGTACTCCTTGTCGGCCACGCTGTAGTCATCGCACAGCTCCAGGATGGCCTCTTCCGAGTGGCAGGTGAGCAGCTTCCCCAGCCTGGTGTGCGGAAAACGCAGGAGGGTGCTCTGGTCCACGGACTGCTTAAAGCCCCCCACATTCAAGTTGATCAGTTCCTCGTCTGGTCCAGGGCGATGGAAAAATTCACCAAACACCATGGTGGAGACAGGAAGCAGAGGGCTGGCTGGGAAGGGAGACCAGGAAGTTCACGCTGCACTCAGGAAAGAGCACAAGACAATGGGGTATTAGCACTCGGTCCCTGGGTACCATACCAAGGTAGTCTCAGTCTGTCTGTCTTTTTCAGGAGGATGAGCTATATTCAAAGCAAAGCAAAAATGAAATAGAAAGACCACTGTTTTGGGACCAGAGAAATAGTACATGTTGGGAGGATGCTTGCCTTGTTTGTGGCTCATCTGGCTTCAATCTTTGGCACCGTGGTTGGTCCCAGGAGCCCCTTTAAAAGTGATCCCTGGACACGGAGCCAGAGTCAGTTTTAAGCTCAGGCAGGTGTGGCCCAAAGTGCCAAAAATCAATGTAAAGAATATAATTTTATCTTTTTTCTTTTTCTTTGGTGTTGAGAGGGTTATTTCTGGTAAGTCTTGCTAGAGTAAGGTGCCAGAACTGAACCAGAGCCATTGGCATGCAAGGCAAGCATCTAAACCCATGTATTATTTCCCTGGACCCTTTATGCATTTGACTTGATGAAAACCAATACAAATAACTAGGACTATTGGTGGGCAAGGTATTGCAGTATTGCAAGTATAGAAAAAGGACAACAATAGTCCTGTCAACCATGAGACCTCAATAAAAACGTATATAAAAGAAAAATTAATGGTTGATTCACTTTGAGGGGAGAGGCAAAAACAGGGTTTATATACATGTAATCTGTCAGCGGGAATGTAAATTGGTCTTGTCATTATGAATAACAATATACAGGTTTATCAAGAAAATTAAAAGAGAAATTCTTCATAATTCAGTTATGCTAAATCTGGTTATTTACCTCAAAACTAACAAAACACTAAATTAAAAAAACAAAGACACACTTCCATGTTCATCTCAGCACCTTGCCACTAGCCAAGAGTTGGGAACAATCTAAGTACTCATCATTAATTAGATTAATAAAAAAAAAAGCTGGAATTCTAACCAGCTATGAAATATATGAAATCTTGCCACTGATGAAATCTTACTTTTGGAAATAAGTTAAATGGGGAAAATAAAAACTCGGTACAACTTTACTCAGATGTGGAAGATAAAGAAACAAAACTAGTTGAACAAATAAAATAAAATGAAAACAAACTCCTAAACAATAAATACAAAATACAAGCTACCAGAAGAGAAAAGCAGGAGTGGAAGCAAATCAGGTAAAAGGGGTGAACTTTATGGTAATGAAAGGAAATTATAATGTTGGTTGCAAGTATAATGTTGTATATACAGATGTTGATTATTATTATTCTGGACACCAAACCTATATATTACTCTAGACCAATATTACTTTAATAAAAATAACTTAAAATAGTTGGGGTCTACAGATACTTTTCTTTGGGGGTGGTTTAATTCCAACTGTGATCAGGAACTGCTCCTGGTTCTGTGCTCAGTAATCACTCCTACAAAGACTGGGGGACCAGATGGGGTGCTTGGTGATTGAACCCAGACCAGACATGTGCAAGACAAGCCCCTCACACACTGAACTATCTCTCCAACCCCTACAGATTCATTTTAAAGAAAGAAAACCTACAATAAAAATTCTTGTGAATCCTAATCCTTGGTTCTATATTTTAAAATCAAAGTATTTTAGGTTACTTACACAGTGAAAGCATCTCCAGGCTGAACCAAGTGACACCGCACTGGGGAATGTTTAGAAGGGAAGGGCCAGTGCTGTCCAGCTGGCGGCTCTCAGGCCCCTGTCCTCAGGGTTTGGTCATGCACCCTCAAAACCAGCTCCATCCTCTTCACGGACGCTCACCCTCAATCCGCACAATACCAAGGGCCCCGCTCAGCTCCTACAAAGGACGTAGGTTTCCCCTGATGCTCCATGCATCCTTCTGTGAGAGCCCCATTCCCTGCTTAGAGCTGGGCAATCAAGAGGATATAATTATCTCCCTGTTCTTGAATGCCTCTTATCTTAAAGATACAGTTACACTTCATGGGATGGTGTTTCAGGTACATCCACATAAGAGAAACTGACTTATGGGAATCATTTTAAACTAATTGCTGGCTCAGTTTCCTGCCACCAATATGCTCAGCTCTACTTTTCCCTTTCCTCTCAGTCTCCTACATCCTCCCCATCCTGGTCTCCAGGTCTGTGTTGGCCCAGCACAAATTATTTCTAAACTAACATTAATCAGGATATGCTGACCTATTTCTTATGGAAAAGTGAACCAACATAATGATGCTTCCCCAGAGCAGATGATGCAAATCAAAGTATTAGATTATCCGAGACCAAGTGTCTAGCAGGCACTATTGGCACTATTTGGCACGTCATCTTTTTGATGTTGTAAAATACATATATAGGAAAATGGGAACTCAGAGACTTTCAGTCCAAGATCACAGGGAAATGATAAAAAACAGCATTTAAATGCAGACTGGATCAAACCCAGTATTCATGCTCTTTTCCCTAAACATAACCCCTCCTCATTTTCTGCCTCATTATAATAAAATAATATAATCTGAGAAGTACTCCATAGTCTTATAATTCTGAGAAAAGATCAATGACATTTGTCTGCAAAAAAGCAAAGGTTACATTTAGCTCAAGGTTCAAAGCAGAGGTGAGCCTTTATAAGGGTAAAGGGCATTTTATACCCAGGGAACCAAAAGGTGAGAAGAATCTTTTGTACCACCTAGAATCTACTTCATCCTCTAGGCAATACCACTAATGGATCCCAATCAGTACTGGTGAGAAAAAGAGAGAGAGAGAGAGAGAGAGAGAGAGAGAGAGAGAGAGAGAGAAAGAAAGAGAGAGTATAGGGGTTAAGGGAACTTATCAGAAATGATCCTTAAGCACAGAGCCAGAAGTAAGCACTGAGCATTGCCAGATGTAAAAAAGAAGGATGAGAAAGGGATCCTAATCAATGAGTGGATGTAGTTGTATCTATGAGTATAACCTACAAAGCTCCCACTGACAGCAGCTGAAGACAGTTGGGTAAAGTTGGAATGCAACAGGCTACTCTATACAACAGAAGAGCGGATGTCAGAAAGCCTTTACTCACAGACTGCAGGTGCATATTACAGAGGACAAGACAAATGAAAGTTGATTGCATCAAGAACAACTGGCAATCTGTTGTCTGCTTGGAAGAAAAGAGGGAGAGAGGAAAGACTAAAGGAGAGTGCACTCTGCTCTGCACATAAGTAGGTGGATGGGGAAGCCATTAGGAGGCAGAAATACAGGACCTTTATGTTTCTGGAAAGTCACGGCTGTCTACAAAACCAAGAGAGTCCTCCTCTGAAGGACAACATACCAGAATACATAGCCTTCAAGAAAAGCCCATGGTAACATCTATCCCCAAAGGAAGCCAGCGGTCTAAAGTATTTCTAAGCAGGGGTAGAGTGTCCTTGACCGTCGGATGGTGGTGAAGATGCAACAGTTTTGTAAATCAAAAGCATAAACATTAACTTTATTGTAATAATATTACCTCAACTATAATTTTTTTTGGCTTTTTGGGTCACACCTGGCAGTGCTCAGGGGTTATTCCTGGCTCTGCACTCAGGAATGACTCCTGGCGGTGCTCAGGGGACCATATGGGATGCCCGATATTGTACTCAGGTTGGCTGTGTGCAAGGCAAACACCCTCTCCACTGTGCTATCACTCTGGCCCAACTTCAATTATTTTTTAAAAAGAAACACTTGAGATACCAACACTGAATGTGTCCCCATCAAACCAAAAGCCATAACACGGCTTGACATAACATCTGATAAATTGCTAACCTCTCCAAAGGACATGATTTTTTTTCCACTGCTGATTTCTCTTTTTAGTTAGATATCTTCTATGAAGGAACTAAAGCAGAGCACAAGATTTCTTACAAATGTTTGCACAACCTCAAATCTCTGAAAGTCATCTTAACGTTCCTGGCATAGATGTTAGTAAGCTGTGTAAAATGTTCCGAGGAGCTAGTTTTAGCTAAGCTGACATCAAGACTTTACTGGATGCTACCTTCAGGTGGATTCTGGGTCATTTCCTTGGCTATTCTAAAATCCCATCATGATAAAAAATTTATGATATGACCTACATAAGTCAGTCTCATAATCAGAAGGCATTTAACTCATGTCCAGGGTTCCTGCAGTCTCTTCATTAAAAACAGTGATCACCCATAACAGTCAAAGATGTCCATTTGCTCTGTCCTCCTTGCTCTCTTTGACTCTGTATGAATGAACAAAAGTCTCTCCTTCCCTATTTGCTCCATGAAGTCTAATATTAAAAGCGACACTCATCGTAAAGCCAAGGATCTCCCGAGAGACTTTCAGAAGAGAGAAAAAGGTGCTCTGACCTGATCACAGACTTTAGCTCAGAGCAAGATGAGATGACGCAAGTCACAGAAGCCAGAGAACCAGGATGACTTCTTCAGCTGAGTCAGATGCAGAGCAGAACAGGAAAGTGAGCCTCCACCCTTACATACTTTAGTCAAGTTTCTTAACACACAGTCTCTCACCATTTGCATCATTCCTTATATCATTTGTTCCTCACTATTACCCTGGGATTTTGCACATGAGGAAACGGTTTTGGAAGAGATGAGCAGACATAATAAAGCTGTTAAGATTAAGATTCCAAACCAGGGCTCCTCATGCCAAGCTCAGTGCTCTTCAGACATGCTGGCTCATGTACAGAAGTGATCCTAATGTACAAAAGTGATCCTGAACAGATACAGACAGGTACTGAACATCACTATTTTCAAGGTTCCTATATTCAGAACAGCATTTATTTCACAGCCATTTATTTATTACTATTCAGAAAACACAGGATCAAACACTCATCTTTGTATGTTACTCTACGTATAATTTACATAGGATGGCACACATATATAAAGATTTGTGTGTATATATAAAGTGAATCATATGCATACCAAATAAAAATAGGGGCCAACATCTGCATAATTAGAAAGAGAAAAAAACTTAATAATTCTAATTCTAAATACAGGGGGAAAAGAAATACATTTTATTACACAAAAGTAAAATTTGAGGTGGCCTGAGAGCTAGCATTAGGGCAGAGAGCACACGCT